GAAGAAATTGTAAAGACACATTAAAATTTCTTAAACCAAATTCCAATCCATACCCCCCTCCCCCCCACCCCCCCCCACCCCAAATAGTTTTGACTATTGAAAATTGCTGACAAGTATCAAATGCTGCAAAATATGCTAGTATCGAACTAATTATATGCATAAATAGTTATGTATTTGATAAAAGTGTTGAAGTTGATTTATTCCCAAATGTCAATATCTTTGTAACTACTTGATGTTGGATAGGAACAACGGTATGCCCCCTTTACGCTGTAATTATTCTCTTTCCTTCCCATAATATATTGATGTAGTTACAATTAAACTGAAACATTATTTTTTCCATGTAACTGATGTTGGAGGGCGATGTGCACAGATAGCCACTAACAGCTTATGTCTTTATTTTAAAGCCAGCGTTTTAAATGTCTTTAGTCTTTAGCCACTGGTTTAATAAACTTTAACTGCTCGGACAAAAATACCCTTCTGCTCATGTCCTTAACTTCAGGACTTCAGGACTACATGTCCTTAACTTTTGAACTTGAAACTCTAAGTTCAGGACTTCAGGACTACATGTCCTTAACTTTTGAACTTGGAACTCTAAGTTCAAGACTTCAAGGTTACATGTCCTTAAGTTTTGAACTTGGAACTCAAACTTCAAGACCAAGCGTCCTTAACTTTTGAACTTGTAAGTCAAAGTTAAGGACCTATTGTCCTTAACTTTTGAACTTGTAACCGTAAGTTAAGTACTGCTTGTCCTTAACTTTTGAACGTGTAACTGTAAGTTAAGGACTGTCTGTCCTTAACTTTTGAACTTTAAACTCAAAGTTAAGGACTGCATGTCCTTAAGTTTTGAACTTGAAACAATAACTTAAGGACTGCATGTCCTTAAGTTTTGAACTTGAAACTATAAGTTAAGGACTGCCTGTCCTTAACTTTTGAAACTGAAACTCAAAGTTAAGGACTGCCTGTCCTTAACTTTAGAACTTGGAAATCAAAGTTAAGGACCTATTGTCCTTAAGTTTTGAACTTGTAACTGATGTTTGTCCTTAACTTTTGAACTTGAAAATCAAAGTTAAAAGATTTAAATTTGGGAGAGTCTGCGACATTATTCTTTGGCTATGAATTGAAATCATTATTTTTGTTTCTTTTATTTTGTGCTTTCCAACTGAACCATGAAAGGAGAGCAGAAGGTCTACACCCTACTTACAAAGTTCTGTTACTAACTTTTGAACCATGAATATTGAAAAGTTCTGTTAAAGAGCTTTTGTCTTTTAATGAATGCTTACAAGCGATGTAAATTAGAATGACTGTGTAGATAGGCTCCGCCACCTCAACATAATGCAACAGTTATGGAGAAGGCACGGAGAGAGAGAAGCAAGGGTTTGGGAAGAAAAGCAAGGGAAGAAAGGGTAAAAATGTCTTTTCATATTAATTTTAATAGGGCAGTGGCTATTTTTGCTCAACATTAGAATTGCTGGATAAAAAATAAATACCACCTTAAATAGTGGCTACACCATGCCATTTCTACGATGTTGGATGAATTTCAACTGTTACAATAGAGAACACTTGAGAGTAAAAAAATACATGGTTTCTTTTACTGAGCAAACCATGAAATCAACTATAACAATAATTTCAACCAATAAGAAATATATCAAATGAAGAAGGAAGATATATAGAAATTTGGATGAAACGAAATTAACAAACATGCTTGCAACAATTTAAGTGGATTATAATCCTGCCGGTGTAACTTATTATTGACGGTACGGAAGAATCTGAGAGATTTATTAAGGTTCAAGGAAAGGAATCGAAAACGTAGGTCGTGGAGAGACATTGCGAGGTGGAGGTCTCTTTGGTTTTCTTGGGGGAAAGCTCTTGCGTGGGGGAAGGGGTTGACGTTTCTGCTGAGAAGGGTTGAAGGCCCTACAGTTTTTCCTGATTTCTCCTAATCTTCCCTCAACAACTTCTGTGTTACCTAACTTGATCAATGCATTTGCAAAAGCCTGTTCAAAGGCTTTTGGATTGACAGAAAAATTAGCAACAATCCCTGCAGTTGACCTATCCGATGCAAGTTCTTGATCAATCTTCAAGATGCCTTTCTTCAACCTCGTTTGTTTGAAAAATTCGTTGTCAACAATAAATGAAGTGCTTTGGTCCAAGGAAACTGAAGGATCGCCCCTTGCAGCACAAGTCCTACTAAGTTTAGCAAACAAGTTACGATCCATACTTCCGTCAAACCTGGATAACCGATCTTGAAACAAACTACAATGCGTATTTCCAACTGTGTGGGCACCCAAAAGAGTCACCATGTCATTGAGGCTAAACTTTTTGTTTGTGAAAAATTTTAATGCTTCTTGAACAGTTAAACTAGGGCCTGGCAAGTTCACATCTGCTGGATTCGACACTAACCCATCTCGCCTTCCAGTTGAGATGCTATACTTAGGTCCTCCACCTAATGCCACCGAATCCCGAGTGGCTAATGCTATGATATCCGCACATGAGACTGTCATTGGGCACGTCGCCTCTAGTCGGCTCTTAATACGATCAATAAGCTCGTATCCTCTTACCGATTGGTTTGGTCCGGCATCTTTCTCAGATTGCTTAATTTGAGTGTTCTTGGAATCTATGAGTATTGATGCATCACAACCCTGAAATAGGACATTTCAACGGCAAAAGTTATTACTGTTTTATACGAACCAAAGTTATACGACACAACTTAACCTGAAGGTCAGTTAATTAAATGTTTTAAAAGTAGAACAGAAAAGAGTATATTATCTGCTCGAATGTTTGTCTGCTAAATTATTAAAAAATGAACCAATACGAGTCAATAGCATAGAAAGACAAATTCCAACATTTCATAACACGACACACGGCGATGTGAATGGTGACCCGGGGAGGGGGGGGGGGGGTATTGGTGGCGGGGGAGGGAATTAAGATGGTGAAATAATAAATCTTTTGATATTTCAACATTTAGAAACGAAAAAGACCTAAATATAAAAAAATAGAATGTATATCTAAAATACATCATGACAAATCATTGACGCAGATTTATACCCACTCGATACATATCATTATTTGAGAAAGTACTCAGCTAATCACGTCGTTATTTTAATGTGTCTTTTCTGTTTAAAAAGGACGAAAAACATACAATGAATGGGAAGTCCAAAAATTCTTAGTTTCTAATCCCAATTCAGGAAAATTCGAGCAAGCCAGTGCGCTAAGTCCTACTAAATTGGTAATAATCAGCTCTATTCGAAGGGAGTTCCTCAAGGAATAAATAATGTTTAGTATTGTATACAAACATGAGATGGTATATATACATACCCTCACAAAGCAGTCATGAAAATACATCCGAAGCAAGGCCGCTGTGATGGAACGATCAGTGGAGAACCAACGCTGCACTTCTTGTTGAACAATAGATTCTGCTCCACGACATTTATTGCCGTAAAAACCAACTTGAAGTGCACTTGAGACAATTGTATGTTGATGATAAATACAACATAAAAAGAGTAGCATTATTTTCTTGTCCATTTTCTTAAGGAGAGCCCTGCTAATTGAAGTTTTATCAATGGGGTAAGTGTAGAGGACTTTCTAAAAGTATTTATAATGGGTGTTTGAGATTTTGCATGTCAAACATAACTGGGATGCACGACGCCATATTAATAAAATTATTTTGCGACGGAAAGATGTAATGAGACCCGTAGTTCAAATGATTTGTTTTCTTGAGAGAAGAAAAAATACTTTCTGTTTTGAGAACATGGTAAGTTATGCTTAATAATAATTGCTTTTGTTCATTCATTATTTCGTAGAGGTCAATATATTGTTTAGTTTTATAAAACGGCCTTCATATTCGGGTTTTTTTCAATTATGTCTTTTAGAAATTTAAAAAATTTGAGCAAATAGAATTAAAAAACATCTTAAGTTCGAGTAATTGAAGGATTTGGTTTCCTAGCGTACCGCGCTCTTAAAAAAATTAATTAATAATTAGCCGTATTCGCTAAAGAAGACCGTCCATTATCAAAATAAGCATGGATTGACGAAGATACTCCAAATATTTGATAGATTATTCAATGAATTAAAAGATTAACATTATTCATATAAACAATAATATTGTAATATAGCTGTATTACCTATCCTTTCACACAATGATTCATGTATTACTTAAAACTTCTCTCTTATCACACAAAACGATCTTAAAACTTTGAATGAGACAAGTGCCGCCCATGTACTTACCGTGAACTGTCAGACATTTGATCTCTATCATTGGAAATGATTATGTGTGCTTAGAGGTCCAAGGCACTCTTACAAGAAGCTTCTTGTTTAATAAATTGTATTTTCTTTAATTGTCTAAGAATAATGCAAAACCGGATCCAGAATGACAAAGTGTTAAATTATGGCGTAGGTAAAGTGTCACGACACAAAATTCCACTAAGTCGTGATGGAACCTAACACAATCCCTGAGTACGTCAAATAGTATGAGTTACAACTATAATAAGAGATCATCAATATTAATAATAAAAACTACAAAAGAATCCAGTACAACTATCCCAAAAACTTGTTTACAAGTCATAAGCCACTAAAATTTAGATTTACGAAGCTGGTATAAAGAATCAACACGTATGTTTGAGTTTTACATGAACAGAAATAAATTCCTAAACTACCATGAACTGTAGCTTGAATCTAGAACGTTGGTACGTCTTCAATACTAAGCTTTGTCTTCCACAGTTATTCAGCTCTAGAATCTGCATGCAAGGTATAGAAGTATAGTATGAGTACAACCGATCTCATGTACTCAGTATGTATCTTGACTAACCTTAGTGAAATAGCGACGGGATTTTTAAGTCAAAAGATACTCACTTTGATTAAGCAGTACAGCTTAATAACATATACAATACAGAAAAATATCCAAAGAGACAGCTATAGAATAGTGGAAAAAAAGAAAAAGGTGCACAAATAGGGTAAAGGTAGTAAACAAGCTTTGCAAATTAAACAGATCCAACAAATACAACTTGCACCAACTCCGCGCACAGAGAGACATGTACCAAGTAGTGTGTGCTCAAATAGTCCTACATTAATGAAGAGTGTCTGTACATAACCGTGATCCAATTCAGTATCAGTTTCTAAATGCCATGTTTATGAGACTAATATTTCAATGTAGGGTGATAACTATCTTTTTACATCAATCCTATGCAGTATCATCAACTCAACAAAACATGAGATATTAATTCAACATGGGTAAAATCCATCTTGACAATCGAATCGTCAAATATAGCAGAGGCATATGAGAACATATTAGATGCAACATGAAAACATGTAAAATACATGACAAAACATAAAGAATGCATGTATATGATCAAGAACGTCACCCTTATACCGTCACATGAATATCAACAGTGAAATGTCACCCTTACACTCCACACATCATCAAAAGTGAAATGTAATCCTTATGCTCCACACAATATCAATACTGAAATGTCACCCTTATACTCCACACAATATCAACAGTAAAATGCCACTCTTAATTAATCACAAAAATCATGGTACCAAAATCCCCATATACGCTATCAAGATAGAAACTTGAGAGGGCGATCATAGAGGATGGATCCGGATCCACACGTTGCACAGTATAAAGCCTCATACATAACAATAGGCAAAAGATAAAGACCCTATGATGTAACAATAACAATCAAGATCCGCATATACGCTATCAAGATCGCGTAGCACATAGACTCAATTACATCCTAATTCTCTCAATCAAGTTTAACCAAGATACTTACCTCTTTTCGGAACAAGATCAACAATTCAAACGGCCTTCCCTTTGAAACAAGCCTCCAAACCACCTGAATAAGTCAAATATTGTTCAAATAAGTCAATACAAGCTTTAGAAACTACCCTTGTATGAAAAAAGTTTGATCTTTAACATATTTGAAAAAGTCAACGAAAAGTCAATCCAGGCACACGTAATCGAAATCTGAAATTAAGACCAAATCCTAATTATTCATTCATCCCTCGAGTCCAAATATGTGATTTATTTCGAGATCTGACCTCTATTTGAGGTCTAAATCTCAATTTTATAAAATTTCTAGTTTCTACCCAAACCCCCAATTTTAACTCTATAAAATCTTACTTTTGATAATGAAATTCATGAAAAAGTAATGAAAAATGAATTAAAACAAGTTAAAATTACTAACCTATGAAGTTGGGAAGAAATTGCTCTCCAAAAATCGCCTCTATGGAGTCTAGGTCTTAAAATAATATAAAATGAGCTACGTCCCAAAATCTCAATCTTTTACCCAACTGAAGATATCGCAATTGCAAACTATTGTTTGCACTTGCGATGTTCGCAAAATCGAACCATTGTTCGCAAAACCGAACCACTATTCGCAAAATCGAACCACTGATCGCAAAAGCGAACTGTATCTATGCCTCTCAAATGTCGTCAATGTGAGTCGCATTAGCGAAGAACTAGCCCATCGCAAAAGCGAACTAAGCTTCACAGTGTGAAGCTGCTCCTCAACACGTCGCAATTGCGACCAATTTCTCACAATTGTGAAGCCCGACCAATCCGCAAAAGCAAAGCTGTCACCCCCTTTCCCAGCATCGCAAATGCGAGGCTCGCATTTGCTAGTAGAACCTCGCAAATGCGAGATCTACAGCCCAGCAACACCAGAAGTTCTTCAGCTATCACAAAACAATTCGTAACATATCCAAAACATACCCGAGCTCCTCGGGCTCCAATCTGAACACTCACACCAGTATATTAACATCATACAAACTCGCTCATAAGCTCATATCATCAAAATAACATCTAAAATCAAGAATCGCTCACCAAAACTCAAGATTTTCAGAGTTCAAACTAAAATTTCCAGTTTTTCACATAAAGCGCCGAAACGGCCTTGGGTCACCCAAGACCCCAGCCAAATATTTGTACAAGTACGAATCTACCAGAATCTTCAACACACCGAACCGAGGTCGTTTACCAAAAATATTGACCGTGGTCTGCTGTAGTTACTTTCAAAGTTAAAAATTATATTTTCTGTAAAGTTTCACATTTAGACTTCCCGGAAATCGAAAAACAGACCACACACGCAGATCATAAATTATAAAATATAGCTTTGAAATGTCTCGAAACACAAAAAGGAAACTACTACTCAAAAGGACCTATGGGGTCGTTACAATGATATTTTATACAAATTCCACATCAAAACTGGAGAGAAGAGTAAAATAATAAACCAGACAAATCCCCCGTCAGAAAGGCAGAGAAGAGTAGAGTAATATACGCTGCTTTTGGTATTGATAATGGTATATACCAATGCACAAATCCGTGAGGTTTAATGGGCAAAGCAAACAATTCTTCTTGCTTGAAAGCCATAGCTTCTCCATTTCTATCATTTTTTTCGAAAAAGGGCCAAATATTTGAATATACTTTCTGTTTGAGTATTCGTCCAATTATGCTTCTTCTGGAAGGGCATAACTGAATGGATACTCAAATGAAGGTGTATTTAAACTATTTCGCATAGTACACGGATATATTTGCCTTTTTTCCTTTTTTTTTTTAAATATTAAACATATGTATAGGAACTTTAGAATATAATTCAATTTGTGTTTGAGTGTATGCAGCTAGATTTCTTTTAGGATATTTTTCCAGTTCTACACTGAATCTTTATAATTTTTGTAGCTGAGCAGCGAAGAATGTACGATAAATAAAATTAGATCGCCTCAAATAAAGAATTACTTTTCATGCATTTGAACGGATACTCAAATGGAGGTATATTTAAACTATTTTCGACAGTGCAAAGATATATTTTGCCTTTTTTTTCTTCAAAAGTTATAGTATAAAAAATAAATAGGAACTGTTGAGTTCAATTTGTCTTCGAGTGTTATGAGGGGAAGTTCTTAGTTAAAATGCAGCTAGATTTCTTTTAGGATATTGTTTAGCTCTACACTGAATCTTTTCAATTTACGTAGCTGAAAACCGAAGAATGTATGATAAATAAAATTAGTTTGCCTCAAATAAAGAATTACTGTTAATGCATTTTTTTAGAAATGATATGGGAGTATGGGACCAGTTAATAGTAGTAAATTCTGCAAGTTGATGTACAGATTTAGTGCTTGGCTTAGTATGACTTATTGTCTGGCTTTCAGTTGTAACCTTTCCCCTGTTCTCCACTGGATTTGTCAAACAATACAACTGAATCTCAAAGAAGAAGACACTTACTTTACGTAGAATTTTCAAAGAGATGTCAATCGTAGATCCCATGGTATTTGTACAGTATCTATGTACTAGACAAAGAACTATTTCCACATAAATAGATGGAATGGATGTATGAACGTTCTATATGTGCTGTTTCTTGTCCAGTATTATTGATCGTTATGTGTTGTATCTTTGTAGTTGCTGAATATAGTCTGGGATTGTGGTGTCGAATCTCTGGCTTTGTGGATTTTCTGCATAAGCAACATAGTACGCTGAAATGCTAGCTTGTGCTGGTGCCATGGTCACCCTAGTCTGTAAAAATTTCATGGAAACATGGAATTAGATTCTAAGGACAATTTCCCTAATGTAAAGCATGAACTCTCGAGTTTCCAACTTAAAAATGCACTTGGACATTTTGTTATAGGGACATGCATTTTAGTGTATGATCATTGTGTTTTAGGCATATCACAGTTGTACAT